AGAATTTGATTCTTCTACAAGTATGTCTTTTTTCGAGGACTTTTGCCATATCCGCAGCTGCCTTCTGGTGGTTTCCGGCGACCAAGGCGGTGTATCTAGCGGTTTCCGGCATCTTCATCCGCCAGTAGTAGGTTAAAGCCGCTGGAACTGCTCCGAACATCAGTACAATCCGCCAAACAAAATCTCCTTGTGGCTGAGTGGACAAAACAGCATCTGTATTGAAGTTATGAGCTGGGTAAGCAGCCATGAACGCCTTAGAAACGATCATGGCCACAACCCCTGCAAACAAAATCCCCACTCCTTGCATAGCAAACACGGCGGCGATGAACGCCCCTCTGGTTTTTTGGTTGGCGTATTCCGACATGATCACGGCTGAAAGCGGGTAGTCTCCTCCGATGCCAAACCCCAGCCAGAACCTGAAGACGTAGAGGTAGCACAAGAGAAAATTGACTTACATAGTTTAGACATATTAGTGAGAAAGAGTAATTTAATAGTGGCTTTGTCGCATTGAGTTAAGTTGAATTAGAACCTGAAGAAGCATAGGCAAGCAATCACACTATGAGCTGTGGAGCCAAATGAGAGGCCTGAAGCTATGGCACACCCCACCATTGTGACAAGGGTAATACCATAAACTTTTTTCCTCCCCAATTTGTCTCCAAGCCATCCAAAGAAAAGTTGCCCTGCAAGTGTTCCACATAATGCCACACCGGTTATGGCGTTGTTGACATTTGTTGGGAGTTTTCCCGGTTTGCCTTTTGATGGATCATAGTAGTATAGCCGTCCTATAAGCTTTGTGACAGCACTGATGCAGAAGAGATCGTAAGCATCAGTGAAGAATCCCATGCCGGCGATGACAATTGCTTTAAAATGGTAGAGTTGAGTCTTAGCATTGTCGAGAGCTGAGAAGACAGCTCGGGTATTATCAGCCATGACTGAGAATAACGAGCGTGGGATGAGGAGGTCTATGAATGATTTAGGTTGATATATATAAGGTGTGTACATTGAGTGGCTAGCTGTTTCCTTGATGCTCTGTTTTGTTTGCTACTTCGACAGCTATTGATTGGTCAAACTAGGAATTGCTCTTGTGCCTAACGACTTGTTTGAAATGTCGTTAACACCAAGATGCTGGAAACAAACCGGGAAAAACATCGAGGTTCTTGGCTGAGCAGCTTTTGCCCCCAGGTGGTCAGGGTTGCCTTAATCCACAAAAAAACACAGACTGGCGCATGGAAATCCCGCTATTGAAGGTATGTAGAGAGTTATATGTACACAATTTGTATCTCACATTTAGACAAATGGTATAAGTAACGTCACTCGAATTCGGGATGTCCAAATTGTTACATGTAACTACAACATCTAATTGGTCGGCAGTATGTCCTTTTGTATTGCTTTTTTGACTGTTATGTGATGTGTTTGTATTTATATTTTCCTTTGGGACTCTGCTGCTTGCATTTTACTGCTTCATTCAAATAGTACAATCAGATTGCTTGCGTTAATTTTGATGAATTTTGAAGTATTGTGGCTGGGGCTAGTGTACTAAAACAATAGTTTAATAGCCCCATCACATTCTTTTGTGACGTGGGCTCGCTATAGTAATCATGCCCCTCACCAAAGTTTTTGATTGTGTAATTGCCGAAGTCATTATAGTATATGGTTTGTTAAGTGTTAACATTAACATGTTTAGGCGTAGGAATTGACGGGCATCATTTCTTTTGTTTGTAGAAGTCAATTACGTTGGATTGTCTGCCAATCTAGATTTTATCCCAAGAGACATTCTAGGAAACTGGAAAGTCGTAGTAGATATCGAGTTTATAGATTTCTTCACTTGTTTTATTGTTTGTTTATAAGCTCCTCAAATCAGTTAAAGTTTAACTTACTTCGAGAATATTCTGTAAATTCTCTAGACAAGAAAATTATTGATTCTCTGCTTGTTCTCAGGGCCGGCCTAATGGCAAAGCCATTGAGGTTGCCGCTTAGGCCCCCAGTTTCGAAGGGCCCATTAATATGTATAAAATAGGACATTAGTTTTGCCCAATAAAAAAAGATTAGTAGACTCAAAATAAAGTTTTAGAAAATATAATTGAATACATACCCTCTCTCTTCAGTTATGTCCTGCCAATTACTACACAAAAACATCTCTCTCTCTCTCATATGTGTATATATATGTATATATGTGTGTGTGTGTGTGTGTATCTGGATCTTACCAAAATAAAAGTTTTGATCTTAAGGGCACCTAATGATCAACATAACCCCTCTTTGGAGGGATGTTTGGGGGTGGGGGAGAGAGAGAGAGAGAGAGAAAGAATGCTCATGTATCAGTATTTTGATACTAAAAACCTACAAAAGCCATAAATTGGACATTACTTGAGGATGAGAGTAAAAAGCATACATGGTGTTGAAAGCCTTTGCAATAGATGCAGTTTATTATTTAATAAACCTCCCTAAATCAGATGATTTCTCAAACTCAGCTCACAGTTCCATGAATCAACAGCTTCAAAGCAATCATGGGGTACGCATATTGGAGTCCTTGGACCTGTTGTCTTCAGAGGATAGTCTATTCTCCAACTCTGAGTGTCGAATTTCCTCGATCAGTCTAACAACTTCATCCATTGTAGGTCGCATATCTGCAACCTTTGCCACACATGCAAGAGCAATCTGAAGCATCTGCACCAACTCTTCTTCGACGTTTTGGTGCTTCATCAGCTCGACATCAAAAACTTCAGCTGTCCATTCCTCCCGGACCACAGACTGGACCCATCTAGGTAGATCAACTGCATCATCATGTCCTGAAGATTGGAGAGGTGCTTTGCCGGTCAGCATCTCAAGAAGGAGAACACCGAAGCTGTAAACATCAGATTTCTGAGAGACTTTCCGGGTTTCAATCACCTCTGGAGAACAGTAACCTGCTCCTCGAGATTTGATAGCCAGATAATTCATCAGAGGAATTAAGCCAAAATCAGATATACAACCATCAAGATCTCTGGTGAGAAGGATGTTAGAAGACTTTATGTTGCCATGGCTAAATTTAACACCACCCTCAGAGTGGATGTGGGCAATCCCCCTTGCGGCTCCAAGTGAAATCTTCACTCTTGAGTCCCAGTCCAGTTGAGCTTTTCCTAAACTTCCATCACCTGATAATTATATAAACCTGTGTATGAGAGAGGCAGAAGAGGGGGAAAAATCATTGGAAAAGAGATTCAAGAAAAGCATACCATGCAAGCGTGCAGACAAGCTTCCGGCTGGCATGTATTCATAAACGAGAAGCTTCTCGTCCTTGGAATAGTAATAAGCACGTAGTGGCACAATGTTAGGGTGCCGTGCAATCCTTCCCATTACCTCCATGTGTTGTTCAAACTCCTTCTTCCCAACCCCTACTTCCTTCAACCTTTTCACCACCACCGCTGTCCCCTCATCCAAAATAGCCTTATAGGCAGTTCCATAACTCCCCTTCCCAAGAACTTCAGCTGACGCCCTTAACAAATCCTCAAGATCAAAGTTATAGGAGCATCCTTCAAAAAATGCCAACTTGTTCTTCTCAGCTTCTTGCACCCCACTCCCGAAGTCCTCAGGTTTCTTCGTCCTTCCACCATTTGAGGCCTTCCCTCCTTTCAACACACCAGTGGCATCAGTGTCTTTCTTCTTCAAACAGTGGAACAAGATCACCAAGACTAGAAGAAGTAGAATTGATGAAACCCCAAGCACAATGGCAACGATAGCACCTGCACCAAGTTTTTTAGAGGAGCCAGCATTATGTTTTCCTGGGACTGGAGGTGGGAATGGCAAGTAATCTGGAGAAGGTGAAGGGGATACTGTGGAGCAACTATTCAGAGGTGGCCCACATAAAAGAGAGTTCCCCATGAATGAAGAAATTGGAAACTTGTGAAGGGAATATGGAATTGAACCATTTAGCAAGTTATGGCTCAAATTGAAAAGCTTAAGCCTTGGGAGGTTGACATCTGGGATGATTCCAGAGAATGAATTGAACTGGAGGTTTAACACAGCAAGCCGTGTCAAATTCTCAATTGTGGATGGAATGTTGCCAGTAAAAGAATTGAAGGAGATATCCATTATACCAAGTTTAGAAGATATAGAAAGAGGAACATCACCAGAGAAGTTATTATGTTGAAGATAGAGGGATTGGAGGGAAGGGATGGAAAGAATATCAGAAGGAAGATTTCCACTGAGGTAGTTAGATCTTAGGCTCAAAACCCTGAGTGCATCTAGCTTTCCAATAATGTTGTTTGGGATGGAGCCATAGAGTCCAACACCAGGGAGATGGATCCCGGTCACTCTGGTTTCATCCTCATTGCAAGTGACGCCTACCCAAGAGGTGCAGACTGGGACAGCAGAATTCCAGTTGAGTTTGCGAGTATGTGGGACTGCACCAGCAAAATCAAGAAGGGCCTGTCTATCCGAGTCCAAGTCAGCAATAATTACCGGAAGAATAGGCAGTAGGAGTAAAATGGAACTGAACACTGCTGTGGATTGAAGGTCCATGGGATGCTCTATTGCCAAAAGATGAATATTTAAGCACAAGTTCAGCAGTTCTTGTTCCTCTCCTGGCTCAAAAAAATAAGAACTGTGAAACAAAAATTGGTCATCTTGTATTTGAAGGAAGTAGCAATGAATGATCTCAATATAGGTTCATTCTGTTTAATTTCAATCATAGGAAGAGCAATCTGAGATTTGTGATGCTTATCAAACGGATCATGGTGTAATGTGTTAGGAAAAGTAAAAACAGCAAGTAAAAACTGAAATAATTTGTTACAAACATAGAACAGGAATTAAAGAAGCCCAAAAAAGCCGATAAAGAAAAGTAAACACAGATACCAAAACAACTTCACCGAAAATTTGTTTATGATGGAGGACAAGTAGTAAGAAAAAATGGTGCTCACAATAGCTGGCAAGAGGCATGCTGAACCAGCAATAGGCTTTCAAGAAAAATTACGGGAACATACAGACACAAGCAATAAGCTGAATAATCATACTTTGGTGGACCAAAATTTCTTCTGATATAATAACTTGTCCACAGAATGACTGATTTAACATCATCATTTTGTTCATTAAAGGTTAATATTGCTGGACCTTAGCCCAGATGCCAAGAGCAAACAGACCAATTTAGGTTCAATCTTTAGCAATAAATGATGATAGTTTCTTTATACTTTTGCCTGAATTTGATTTAACAAAAAAGACATTCTTTATCAAACTTTTCATGGTAGAAAAGAAGCTCATTAAAATTCCTTGTCACTATATTTAAAAATTCTTTAGTACACAAAAAGTTAATAGAATTTTGGTAATTATTACTAGCATGGGACATTATTAAGAAAAAGGTTTGTTGTTTAGTCCATAATAACAATTGAGCCAAGGTTTTTTGTTTTTGCCCAATGCTTCATTTCGAATGGCGTGGAGGGATATATCAGTTTATGATATAGTTCAAGAAAGAATCGTCTCATTTTTTTATTTCTTCGTTCTTTCTAATTCATTCACTTCAAGACTGGTTCTAAACTCAGCGTAACATCATCTTTAACCAACTTACACCATAAGTACCTTTTTGGTGCGACCACTAAAGAATTGCTTATACACTAAACAACTACTTATATATGCTTACTAAAAGACCGACTTTCATTCATTAGGCCAGCGTGAAACTAAGAAAGTCAGTATACATCAGTATAGGGCCCAAAGATCTGGCTTTAATAAGCTAAAGATTGCTTTTATCAGCCGACACAGTAAAACAGATGCCCACTTCCAAAAGAAACTCCTATTTTCAGATGATAAGCATAAACAGATTGATTAGATCAGCTTTAAAGGTTCAAAACCAAGGCTTGAAGGTTCCTCAATGAATAATAAAATTCAAGAACAAAAATTGTTGTTGATTGACCTTTACACAGTGGAAAGATAGAGGTCACTTTAATGTACACATCAAATATGTT